TGGCAGACGTCCCTACTACTACGCTACACCACCTCCATACTATGGCAGACGTCCCTACTACTACGCCACACCGACTCCATACTATGGCAGACGTCCCTACTACTACGCCACACCGACTCCATACTATGGCAGACGTCCATACTACTATGCCACACCAACTCCCTACTATGGCAGACGTCCATACTATGGCAGACGTCCCTACTACTACGCCACACCGACTCCATACTATGGCAGACGTCCATACTATGGCAGACATCCCTACTACTACGCTACACCAACTCCATACTATGGCAGACGTCCCTACGACTACGCCACACCGACTCCATACTATGGCAGACGTCCATACTATGGCAGACGTCCCTACGACTACGCCACACCGACTCCATACTATGGCAGACGCCCCTACCACGCCACACCACGTCCCTTCTATGCTACACTTCCATACTACAACACCACTAATGACGCCACATCACATTCCTATAACACCACATTGCAGCAAATCTAAGTGGTTCTTTTATTTCTTTCCCTTTAACTCCCTGTTTTACTCTTTCTGGGTCACCAAACTAAATAAGGAGGAAACATTGTGGTTTGGAAATGTCTTAAGGTAGAACTGTACAATGGTCACCCATAACATTTAGACCAATAAAATGTTGTTGTTGGATCTGTTATTCCATCTGTTAAAGCGTTGGGTCATCAACAGACCCAACGCTTTAGTTCTGACTTCCTTCAAACACAATTCAAATCATTCCAGATGCTTTTTTCATTTTATAACCAACCTTCTTCTTTGTTCCAGTTTCACAAAACAAAAAATAAAGACAAACTGGGTAATTATTATTAATCTCTTTTATAAGCAGCAACTGTTTATGTCTAATAAGCTCTTTCGTAAAAAAATTCAGAACAAACAAATTCCTTATCGCATTAAAGATTTTTTGATATTTGATGTTTGAGGCTTCTTATAACATCATTCTATGTTTTCATTCATTTCAATGACTTTCTACTTCTACCCATCTGACTAAATGGTTTGATTTGTCTTACTGGAATTTAGATGGATGTTTCTGTTTACATCCATCTAAAGTCCATGGTGGACTTTGCTTTTACAGCTCTGAAATATTACTGTAAATGAATAAAATTAGATTTTTAAATACTTATTTTAAAGTTGATGTATTTTGTTCTGTTCTCACTACTTTGAAGTGAGAGCTAACAAATGTAAATTACTTGTGTTTGGTGAACTGTATAAAGATGCATTCAGATATTAATAACAAAATTCTAGCCACAAATAGTTAGCACCTGTTAGCATAAAACAGTGGTGTCCATAGTCCATTATCAAGTTCTTCTTCAGCTATTAGCATTTTTACTGTGGTAACATAATTAGCAAACAGATACCGATGAATACAACAAACCCACCATCATGTATTTAAATACTCCATAACTTTTCTCTGAGGGAAGGAGCAGCTGGTTCGCCCAGCAGGTTAAACTTGTCTCAAAGCCACTAGCAGAGCTGCAGTGACTGAACTCTCAGTGAACTGCTGTGGTGGTGGCAGTTTGTGGTGGAACTTATCATTAAACATGCTAACAAGTTTACACATGTTGAGGAGGTCGTCGCTTGGTCCACTTACAAGAATGAAAGTGCAAAATTGTTGGTTCACTCATCCTCAAAATCTTTGAGAGAGAAGGGAAAGTGTATCTACCAAAACACATGGACACATTTGAAACATTAAATTAAATGTCTGAAACTCTTTCTCTCTGATAAAACCTCATAGTGCATATGCTTGGGCTGTTTTTTTCCACTAATGTAAAAAAAAAAAAAGAGCCTAATGTATTCTCAAATGTTTTGATGAGGTTTTCAAGCTAAAAATAATCTTACATCTCACAATAGAGAAGTTTTAACACTTGACAGATTGATGCACTCAGCTAATAAGACCTAAAATTGCATGTCAGCCTCCAGTTTGTGCAGAAGTCTCATTCAGGTCTCAGTTGTGCTGTAGAAATTTCTTGTCTCTTTCCTATTGGTACATCAGAGGATCTGTAGCTGACTTGATCTGCCTTTTTCATAAATGGCAAAATAAAATAAAAAACTTTTCAGGATTAGAAAACAGGTTCAAAGCGCACTTAAACACTTTTCAAGCTTTACATTTCTTCTATTTCATTGTATTTTGCAGGATTTAAACCTTCAAACTATTTGAGTACAAACAGGTTATTTGGCCTGTGGTATAAACTGTTTTATAAGGACTGATAGTCATTAAGAGTCAAATGTACAACATGAGCTTACCATGTTTTACTGTAGCTTTATTGTAGCTTTCCTTTTCTCTCTTTTTATCAACATATGATATATATATATATAAGGCTATGGTTTAAAGCTCCATAGTCAGCTTTAAACCAGTGGTGATAGGGAATTGAGGGAAATGATACTTTTGACCATTTATTTACTGATATACCTGCTGTTTTTATACTTCTGGAAGATGTGATTTCCTGTTAAGAAGTGTCCAGTCGCTTTTGCAGCTGTCTACAAAAATAAGTAACATCCTGTGTAAATGCAGCTGTCTTAGAGTCACCATATACGATATGCATTTTCCTGTACTTGCCTGTGCTGTTGAATTATCACCATGACGACACGCCTATGCTTAGAAGTGAATAAATACTGAAGGGCTGCAAGCCCCTGTTGGAGTTGGCCTGTTGGAGTTAGCTGGTCTGACACACCTGAGTCTGAAACGCTTCTCCACTTTTGCAAAAGACAAGCTTGTGTCCTTGTGATTCTTTCAGTTTATTTGAAGAGTAAACCTAACAAGTGGTGCTCATAACTAATATTATTTATGGCTTTTAAAGTATGTCAGATTAAGAGATTGTTTAAAACCGCTAAACACTAGCTTCCATTTAAGAGGCCATTTTGAGACAAGCAACAATCTCCAAATTTGCATCATGGTATCCCAAAGTATTGCATCATTTTATTGGTTCTATTCACATTTTGAACATTTGACTTGTATATTTTAACCGGTAGTAATTTAAGTTTTTATCTTTTACCTAGTAGCACTGGTGAGTATTATTAACACTGTGAATTTGTTTATTAAAGTACTTAACTGAAAGGTTTAATAATTTTGTTAATAAACATATATACTGGAGAGAAGTTGTTTATTCCATGTTATCTTTTTGTTTGAAAATACGTTCAGTGAAAATAAGGAACCATCTGCATGTTGAACTGTTTTTCATCTGCTGGATTCTTGAATTCAAATTCAAAAATAGTTTTTTGATCCCAAAAAGAAATTAAATACTTCATGTGTTCTGTGTTGGTGGTTCTGACTGAAGTTGGACCATCTGCTTCACCCAGAACCTCCTGTTGGGCCGTAGAGCTGCAGCACATCTTTGTTCCAGTCCTGGTCAACACCAAATGTCTTTACTTGACCAAAAACTGAAAGAGAGAGAGAAAGCTCTTATTATCAGCTGCTTATACTTATTTTATTTTATTGTGGATAATTAATGTGTCATGTGACAAACTTGGTTGATTTTAATCATATTTTATGAATGAAGCTTGTCAGGCATCAAAAATGTGAAATGGAGGAAATGGAAATTAATCCCAAATGTATTCAACCATAATTTCAAAGTGGTGGTTTTTATTCCTTTGTTCTGGGGCAGGTTGCTGAGTTTTGACCTAAAAAGGGCAAATTATGAGCAGCAGAAAGACCAGCAGGCTGTGGTTAAAAACTCGACGACGGCCTCTTAAAACAGAACAGGAAGGTTTGAAAGACTGATGTGAAGAACTTCTCTCTTTAGTTTCATCGTCTCCTCCGTCTGCAAACCCACTGATCTTTGTTCAACATGAAGGCAGAATCCATTGAGCTGACTGGGACTCGTAACCCCAATGTTTACGTCTCTACAGGTAAAACGTTATTTTATGTATTATTTTATGAATGGTTTTACTCCTATGACCTTGAATAGTGAAGCAAATTCCTTTTACTTTGGATGGATCCAAAGTAAAAGCCGTCGTAGCTGCTGTAGTACAGCAACAAATGTGTTTTTCATCTTTATTTGATAGATTTTAATTTTTTTTGTTAACGTTTTTCCTTTTTTTAAGAGGAAAAACTTTTACACTTCCTCAATGTGAAATATATCCTTTTGTATTTAACAGGATTTTCTTAAAATTCATATTGAAAGTAGATTGATGTTTGTTTCAGGTGATCTTCAGGAGGAGGATTATGTGGATGCACCTTGTGTTTTCAGTAGCTGTTTCAGGTTCATCACAACATTCTTACATGAGATGAGAGGAATTTTATTCATCAGCTTTGGCAATAACAGAATGACTGCCAAAGCTGACCGAGCAGACCTGAACCTGTAGAAATACGTGGAAGTGGGACATGCATCACTTGATGCAACATATGGTGGATATGACTGGCTCTGGAAGGAGCATGGATCGATACAATTGATCAAACTAGTTGTCAATCATCTTTAACAGGTGTGACATCCTTACGCCTGTTACACCTGTGGATCTGATAACGGCTGACCTGCTGCTGAACCAAACTGCACCGTCATGTTTGTTAACCTAGCTGAATAGGTGCCACAAATTTAAGCCACAACAATCACAAAAAAAAAACAAAAAACAAAACATCACAACATCCTGGAGGCACTGAGCTATGACCTTACTATGGTCTGTTTCTATTGTGGAATGCACTAACCAATTTGAGCAACACATGCACAACTATGGATACACTAAGGTTTATCACATGGAAACTGCATCAAATGGGCACCTGAGAGAAAAACACTGAAGATGATCTTAAATCGTCTGAGTTGTCTAATGTGTTTCTGTTAAAAAAACAAAAAACTATAGACAAAAGGAGTACACATTTAAAGACTGAAAAATGCTGAGTATCAGTCACAGATCCAGAAGGTAGATTTATAACAATAAAGCTATTCATACATAACCAAAAGTTATTTATTGTCAGTCAGGTGCGTCTCTTTCCAGATGTGGATTTGCAAGTGTTTGGGTTGGTTGGGGTGATGGTGGAGCTGGGCTGGGTGGTGGTTCTCCTGGGTTGACGTTGCAGTGATGTTGATGTTTATATGTTTGTGAGGGGGTAATGGGGTCCCACCTATCAGGGTTGCAGCCCTTCAATATTTATTCACTTCTAAGCATAGGCGTGTCATCATAGTGATAATTCAACAGCACAGGCAAGTACAGGAAAATGCATATCGTATATGGTGACTCTAAGACAGCTGCGTTTACACAGGATGTTACTTATTTTTGTAGACAGCTACAAAAGCGTCTGGACACTTCTTAACAGGAAATCACATCTTCCAGAAGTATAAAAACAGCAGGTATATCAGTAAATAAATGGTCAAAAGTATCAATATCCCCATCAATTATTTATCAGCCATCATGGCACATTGTGTGGTGGGCGGTGCCCAGACCAGTTTTGGGGGGTGCCTATTCCTGGTCTGGGCTGATGGGCTGTTCTCCTGCTGCAAGGGGCTTGGGCAATCTGCTTGTCTCCACCCCAGAATGAATTGGACCATCTCCTGAGTCAAGGGGTTGTTTACCTCTCTGGGATATTGTTACCTGGATCTGGAAGTGTAGCTAGCATGTTTGTGGGGAGTGCAAGTGTGTGTATGGCAACCAAGTCTTTGTGTTGGGTGTGTGGCAATGAAAGTGGGAACTTAATATTGTCTGTGTGGCTTTTTATCTGTTAGCCACACTACTAAATACTAATAGTTGGGTGCTGATGCAAAAGCTGGCCTGGTCTCTGCTTCCCCTCTTGCTGTTGCTACCATGGATCCTGCGAATTAGTACTTAAGTTATGTTGTTTAGTTTGTCATTACGTAAGGACACTCACTTCTACACTCATCTGAAACAGAATCAATACTGAAATGTATTTTGCATCAAGTGTAACCTAAATTTACCAAATATTTTTTGTGACATTTTAGATACAGGTATCGTTTCTGCTAAGTTAAAGGACCTCCAGGACGTTAATCGGCGCCTTAGAGAAAATGTCCAAGAACTGCAAGCAGATTTATGGCGACTGCAAAAACAAGAAACTTCTACAAAAGACTGGAGAAAACTCAGTTTTGAGTGGACTACAACAGCAATGCCCAAAGCAAAACATTACCACACCACACCCCAACCTGACCGTTGGGGACATTACTACCACACCACACCACATCCTTACCATTGGGGACATTACTACCACACCACAAACCAACCTGACCGTTGGGGACATTACTACCACACCACACCACATCCTTACCATTGGGGACATTACTACCACACCACACCCCAACCTGACCGTTGGGGACATTACTACCGCACCATGCCACATCCTTACTACGGCAGAAAAAGTACAGTAAAAATATTATACATTTAAGAATCTTGTTTTTAAACTAAAATATTTTCCTAATGAAATTGTTTTTTGTACAATCAGAAAGACAAACTAAACCTTGCCAGAGAGGTTGGCTCCACTTCCAGTTCAGCTGCTATAAGATCAGCAGCCAGAACGATTTGGATCAGAAAACCTGGGATGAAGCTAGAGATGACTGCAGATTAAGAGACGCAGATTTGGTTGTTGTTGGAACTCCTGAGGAGCAGGTTGGGCTGGAAACATGGTCAACACTTTACTCAGCCATCCTCAGCTACCACACTATCCACTATTTACCTATGATTGTCTGTTTTCATCAGGACTTCATCTATAAAATCAGTCTAGCTGCTGCAGGAGCCAGCTGCTACTGGATTGGCCTCAGGGCAGAAGGTGGTGGCTGGAAGTGGCTCAATGGGAATGAGCTAACAAATGGGTAAGAACCCAAATGTCATAAAAATGGAATCCATCCATAATCTAAGAGACCTGATCTTCTTTCAGCTACTGGCTGCAGCCACCTGCTGAGGGGCTTAGCTGTGCAACGTCTGTTAAGGAGGCCAGTGGATGGAAATCTGTGAGCTGTGATGACAAGAATGGTTGGATTTGTCAACAAAAGGCTCAGCCTGCATGAATTTGTAAAAACCTTCTGCTGTCTGAAAGGAACAGAATGTTTACAATGCTGAGATTTTGAAACAAAGAGTCCAGTTCAACTCTTAACTAGTTATAATGGTCTGTTTTCTTCCATTTATTTACCCCAGCGCTGTTTGCTAGCATATCTAAGCAGTTCTTCTTCTTTGCTACCAAGCCAATTAAGGTGGAAACGCTGGAAATGTCCTTTACCTGTTCAGGTATGACTGGAGGTCACCCATAACATTTGACCAACAACTGTGGCTTTGTCTTCATACACCATACAACATTCACCATCAGCTAGTGGGAGATAGTCAACGTTGCTTTAGGGGCCAGTTCTGATTGGTAGGTGGTCATGATGTCGTTGCTGATCTGTTTTAGTGCCATATGTGTGGAAGCCATTTCATTTCCCTGAACAACTTTAACGCTTTCTTTAAACTATTAAAGCCTTTGTGTAATGGCTACACTGGGCAGAGCAGCAGTGGCTAACTGCTGGAAGTTAGATGGATGTGTTTATTTATCTAACAGAGCCTTTTGCTTTTACAGCTCTGAAATATTTCTGTAAATTAATAAAATATGAATTTGGAAATTGTGGAAATAAAATTGTGTGTATTTTGTGCTGATCATAACTAAATTCATTCAGTAATATTTTGATGTAAGAACCAAAAATAATTTTATTTTTGAATGCATTTTTTAAACTCAACATATAAACAAAACACAGTAGCAAACAGCTAGCATGCTTAAAATGAAGCCACGTAAAGTGAGCTCCTGTTAGCACAAGCCAGTGGTTTCCATAGTAATCAAGTCTTTATTTTGCCATTAGCATTTTTACTGTGACTGAAGAATTAGCGAGCAGATGCTAATATACAAAACATAAATATACCATCATGTATTTAAATACTCAGCCATTTGAAAAGTTACACAGTCAAAAAATAAATAATTTTAAGTTCGTCATAATGGGAAGGAATGGGCATTTATTTTTTAAAATCATATTTTCATTGTTTTACCTTCAGATCTGTGCTTGACTCCATTTTCACTTGCCTTATATGGCAGAAAAACAGCAGCTAACTGTTGCTCATTATTTCTATGATCTGGATCCTGAGGCTCTGGAGTTTAAGCACTGCAGGCTCAGTGCAACAGTTTGACCAAAGTTAGAAAGAGACATGTTTTCATGTGAAGGAGTAAATGACGGACAAGCAATGTCACAGAAGCAGAAGGTCCAGAGAAAAGTTGTAGCACAAAAAGCAGAAGACCATGAATAAAACCACTCAGCAGACGGAGAGGAAGTTCATCTCTTTCAACATCATTTCTGTCTGCTGGTGGACGACGTTTCTATCATCACACAATCCTTCGGCCTCACTGAAGCTGATAAGTCCAGTTTTCTCGTGTCTGCACGTGTGATTTTGTGAATCACAGAAAATCCTCCATCAATTTAGCTCTATTCCTAAAAGTCAGTTTTATGTTGTAAAACCTTCCCACAGTGGAGAAAGTTGCTCTTAAATTTGAGACTTCCAGAGAAAAGCTGCTGACCTTCCTTCTGTGAGTGGAGCTGGAGTCAGTTGTGTTTGGCTGAAGGTTCATGTTGAGGTCCATGTCCTAGTCAAAGGGTTGCGGCTGCATTCCTGTTCGGAACTTTGACCCGGTTCTGCAGTCTGGACCCTCGGCCTGTGAATCCAAACACAGCAGGGTCACGACCTCGCCATGTTTGTTCGAGGTCGCGATAGGTGTCACAGCGGCCGAGCGGCGGCGGCCATGACTGGCTCCGGAATGACAACAAGTTCAGCCGCAGCGTTTCCGCCTAATTTGTTGGTGTTTTTCTTTCCCAAAGCCGGAGCTTAGCCGGCAGCGCAGGCCGTTTAACTCCATCAGTGTTCCGCTTTATTTTGGAGCCGCTGTTGTTCCCCTGGACCCAGACCGCGACCCGGTTCTGTTTGAACAGCCTGGTTTATCAAACTGTTGTGATTGCGTTTGATAATTCAGCAGCAAATCCCTGAAACAAAGAGCAGAGAGCTAGCCAAACACGGAAGTTCACAGGTTGGCAGGGAGTCATTCTGCGGCAGATTTGATGTTTTCTGAGGAGAAAAACTTTACCGGACTCGTTGGACATTTCCACCCGCTAAACTTCAGCTAACAAACATCAGAATGCTTTGGCTTTTTAAAGAATTTACATCACTTCAGGTTTAAATAAAGAAACCTGGTGCTAACCTGAGTAAATATTGCAGGAACCAAAGCAGAAAGTTACCTTGTGTGTTTTCAGCAGAGCTGCTCTGATTGGCCTTCCTGACTGCATGGAGCCGTTAGCACAGCTAGCTAACAGCTAGCTAACAGCCAGACGTTAGCCTGGGTAATGAGTCTTTCTGCATGTTAGCATGTTCTCCCTGTGCGTGTCCTGGTTCTCCCTGGATACTGCGGCTTCCTCCCACCGTCCAGATACATGACGAATAAAGGTGAAGAGGAAAAGAAGCTAATTTCACTCAAAAACGTTTTTTCTAGAAAGAAACATGGACGTTTCAAACATGGATTAATATAAAAATGTTTTTTTTTTCTTAGCAAATTTTCAACTTGTCAAACTCAGAAGTGTCCCTGTTTTATTCTAAATTTTTGGGCAAAAATTTACTCTTTTTTTTTTATCTCCTTTTGTTGTGAAATGGTCTCAGGTTTGGTCTCCAGCTGCAGTTCAGATCTTTCTAACTTTTTTCCTGCTGCCATCCTAACAGGAAGTCATGGTTGTTTTGAAGCAATCTGATTGGCTGACAGGTTTTAGTTTTATGCTACACTGCCCCCTGTGGGTTTGGCATGTTTAGATCAACGATCAGGGGATTTATGCGAGTTCATGTGAATGAAAACTTTTCTAAAACAGATCCTGTTTGTCTGATGTCATGTGGTATAGATATTGGCTTTTAGACAAACTCAGCTACTCCTCACAAAACTGGTTGCCATAACAACCAGTAACAGCATTTTGTGATCAGCTGCTTCTATTTTACATTCATCCCAAACCAAAGAAGCCTCCGTTTCTTAACACAGCAGCATGCAGGGAGGTTCATGTTGTTTTGTGCATTTATCATTCCTACAGTTTTACTTGATTCTTGTAAAATGTCTTTGAGTGTTTTGCCAAATTACATTTATTATTATTATTATTATTATCTCTCCAGGCATTGGTGGCTGTGATGTGTTGAGTTTTTCTCAAGTCTGTTTCTTGTGCCTTTCTGTTGAGAAATGTGTCTTTGATGAGATTTGAGCCTAAATTTGTCTCCAATCCGAAGTATTTTTGTATTTTTCTTGTAGATCTTTGTCACCTTAGAGGAGTTTGGAGGTTTTATTGGTAAACCAGAAGGACCGGATCAGCAGCGGTCCAGTCAAAGCCTGCCGGTGCAGAAAGTCTCAGAGCTGAAAACACGTCTGACCTGCTGGTGACCTCCTGCTTTAGGCGACTGCAGCTTGCATGACTGGTTCAGACGGCCATTTTTTACAGTGTATCCGTCTGTCCCTGCTGTAAAAGCAGAGAGGTCTGTCTGTGTGTCTCTGTGTGAGTGTTGTTGCTGAGTGCAGTGACCTGAGGTTACACTCTCCCTGTTCCCGTTAGCGTAAATATCCCTCTATTAGCAACAAGTGATCTGAAAGCTCCGATCTGTCAGAGCCGCTGGAAGCTTTTAGACAGACAACAGAGGAAAACCAGCGGCGTCCCTTTAACCCTTCCACCGGCCGCCCAGCGCTTCGGCTGCCGCGCAGGAACCTCCTGCTGCAGCCGGGACTATACCAGACAGGAAGTGGATCGTCTTTGTGAGGTTTGATACGTTCATCAGAGGCAGGAACCCCGACCCGAACCGGGTCAAAAAATATGACCAAGAGCATCTCAGTTTTCTAAACCAACTCCTGCAGGCCTGTTCTCTCTGTACATGCAGGAGAAATCAAAGAACAAGTTTTATGTCAAAACTTACAGAAACCTGAAGTCTAAACTTTTTACAACCACTAAATTTCGCGTTTTATTTTTTATGTGATACGATCAACAAAAAGTTGTGCATAATTTTGAAATGAAAACAAAATGTTCCATGTTTTTTTATATTTGTTTACAAAAAATCTTAAAAGTGTGGCATGCATCTGAATTCAGCCTCCTGAGTCAGAACTATTTCATTCTGCCATTTTGATTTTATTTTTAAACATGTATTACTGCATCATGAAATCATAATAAAACACATTTACATGAATGCAGGGTAATGTAGGAATGCTCTGCAGAATACTTTCAGTTTTCAGCAGATTCAGATTCATCTTCCTGCTTCTTTAAACAGAGCTTATCTCGGCTCTCCTTCTCTGACCCAACATGGCTTCCGTCTGCTCCCACTGTAAATATTTATGAACATGTGAGGTGCTCAGAGGTTCACAGTCGCATCTAAAAGGCTTTCTGCCCGAACGCTGTAATCAGTCAGGGGTTCAGGTGTCGGTCCTGCTTTGTGATCTGCAGCTTCAAAATTACACTAAAGGACAGCAGAGGAAAACAGTTCAGAAAGACGAGTGTTTCTTTCTTCTTCTGCTAAATCCTGCAATTCTTTAAATCTAACCTCAACAATGTCAGTTCCTATCAAACAAAAATAGAGCTAAAGTGGAAAAACCTGATGCAGGTGCATCAAGTATATCAGCACTGACCTCAGGGAAGCAAATCTAACTGTCCATCAACCTGGGAAGGGTTCAAAGGTCATCTCCAAACCATCTGAAGTCTGCAGAGAGGAAGATTATTCTGAAGAGGAAAACATGTCAGAGTCTCAGCAGATTCAGTCCAATGTCAGAGCAGGACGCTCAGAGAAATGACCAGAAACCTCAAGAGCTCCATGTCTGACTCTACAGGCAGGTTAAAGGTCAAAGGTCATGAAAAGGTTTGAAAAGACTCTTAGGAAGGGTAGAAGTAGGCCATAAGGCCTCCTTCCACCTGTCCAGCACGGTGGTGGAGGGATGATGATGTGGGCTGGTGTAGCTGCTCCAGAGGTTTTCTGTGACCGGGAGTTTCTTCTTCACCAGGATTATAAAGTTAAATGTTATTTTTCACTCAGTTCATCAGGAGAAGAATCTCAGCTGCAGGTTGATGTGGATCTGATGGTGAATCTCTTCTTCCTGTGGAGATTTAATTTAAAACTAACTGCTTGTCTTTCACCCGATGTGGTGAAAGTTTGATTCTTCTGTTTCTGAAGCAGCTCGTCTCGAGGTTCAGTTCGCAGATGATATTTTCTTATCCTCCATTTTCTCCTGCAGGTTAAAGTAGAGCTGGAGATAAATCAATTCTATTGATCACATTTTTGATTTTGTGGAGGATTTAATAATTTAAAGAGTGAAATTTTTCCCACCTATGCTTTTCTTGGGTTTTGTGGCTCAGAGTGACGTCGGTACTCCAGGGCGGCCATCTTGTTTGAGAAGCCTTGTTTCACAGCTTCTGTTTGAGTTCAGGATTTTTTTTCCCAATAATGAAGTCATAATGTTAAAATGTTACAGTCATTGAAATACTAGAATAATCATATGACAATAAAGTCTAAATGATATCAGAATAAAGTCTTAACGTTAAGAGAACAAAGTAATAATTTTATGAAAACTCCAACATGAAAATAACAAAACAGCTTTTTTTCTCATAAAACGACTTTTTTTCTTGTAATTTAAGACATTTTTCTGGTAAAAATGCCTCTTTGTTCTGTTAATATTATGACTTTATTCTCATATTTACTCTGTTGTACAACTCAAATAAAAGTCACTTTTTAAAGATATTTTTTGACATTTGTAATTTATTTTCTTAGAAAAGAAAACAAAAAAATAATGCTTAAAACTGGAAATTTTATCTGGTGTGAAATATTTTCTTTATTTTATTTTAAAGGCATATTTTAAAGGCAGCTATTAAGGCTGAATTTTTCCTTGCAATCAATAAAATTAGCACAACTGATACAATGTGATAGAAACAGAGTGAATTTAATAAGATCGTAGAATACAGAACAGGAAATAAGAAAATGTCCTCACAGAACAGAACTAAACCCAGAGGATCCTAACATCTAAACTACAGACTGAACGCTCTGGTTCTCTGCTTGAATCAGCTTTTAGTTCAGAAATAAGGAGCTTCAGATCCCAGTTCCTCTCAATAGAGCCATTGTTCTCTGATCTGTGAAAACTGAACATGTTTATCCTTAAATCCACTCGCTGACGTTTCAGGGAATCATGGGAGATAAACTGAGGTTTCTGGATGGAGGAGGGCGGATTTACTGATGAGCATCATCAGGATTCAAGAGGATCAGCTGAACAAAGAGGGAAAACCTGAAATCCCAAAGCTCCCAGTCCGGAGCAGACCAACACAGCTGGTAAAAACCACTGAACCCTGAAGGAAGGACGTAAGGAAGCAGAAACGCTCTGAGGATCGTTCCTGCTGCAGCTTCAGCCGCTGGTCGGTCACTTTAAACACCAACCTGCCTCAACTTTGTCTTTTGTTCAACAAGATCCTTCAAAATAAAACCCTGTAATTAACTCGACTTTACCTTCACCCTGAGATTTACAAAACAGAGGATGTAAAGTGCGATTCCTCTGAGTTCTCACCGGCAGACGTTTGTTTTTCACACAGGACTGCAGCAGCGGGTTGGAGGCTGAAATCCCGAGTTGTTTTGGGAGAAAGTTTCTAAATCCAGATACAAACCGAGCCGATCGGAGAGGACCACCGTGTTTAGAAAGCTGACGGAGACGAGCTCAGCTACTGGCTGCAGCAATCTGACTCTGACAACAATCTGATTACATTCAGACAAAAACAATTAATAAATGATACTTTTGCTTCCTCTTCTGCTCCTGTAGTTCAGGTTAAACTACTTCATGGTGAAAGTTCGGAGGATTTCTCTCCACCTGATATTAATTTCTGCCCATCAATCAGGGACGTTTTATAAACCCTGACATCCATCAATCTGCAGAATAAACGATTATTTACTAGAGGAAAACGTCTCAGACAGAAGCGAATGTTCCCAATAGTGACCAATGAAGATATTCAGACTAAGGTCTGAGGAGCTCCACCTGCAGGCCTCAGTCAGCTGACTAAAGGTTACAGGTCAGGAAAAGGTTTTAAAAAGTGTTTAGTTTGAGATCGTGAAGGGAAACAGAGACCAAAGTCAGTGGAAACATGTCACTCCAGTTATCAGGCATGGTGGTGGTGGGTGGTGATGTGGGCTTGTTGTCCAGCTACAGGAACTGGAAACATTTCAGTCATTTAAATCTCGTTTCCCAACAGACTAACTGGGCCAGCAGGATTTAACCCAAACGCAGCGCGAGGCGTTGAGGTGACAGAAAAAACGATTTCAGCAAAAAACTGGATTTGAGCATCAAGACTTTGTGTGACCGTAAAGCCTTAGTGGAGTTTCCTGCTGTTTCTGTTTCACCAACAGCTGATCACCATAGATAGTGTCTTTAAACCAATCAAATGAAATAGTTTTTAAAATCAGATGGAAATAAATGTTTGGTTCTGGTTGGAACTGAAGCCAGAATGTTAGGAATGAGCATTTTAACCACTGGTTGAGTCACTGGGGAAACCATTAAACCCAGTTGACCTGTGAGTCACGGCGTCATGTTAAATCCTGCGATCCATTTCACAAAGCAGTGGAGTTTAGACAGACTGAACCAGGTTTACTGCGGCCTCTTTTCAGCCGCTCCCTCCAAACCGCAGTGCGTTGTTTACCACCAGACACACTTCTCCATCACCTCGCAGCCATTTGCCTGGTTTCACAAATGCATTAGTGCATGCATCAACAAGAGCTGCAACTTACAGCTGTTTGCAGACAAGAAGCCGTCCTCCACAGACTCACCGTGCAGCTCCCGCCCAGCAGCTCAACCAAAACAGTGATTAAGGTTTCAACTCTTCACCTCAACGTCAGAGCTGCCGGCGGATCCGCCACCAGGTGTAATTACAGGTGAGGAGACGGGCGGCGGTCCAGCTCAATCTACCTGCTTACGTCAAAGATGACTTTACCTTCCCCTCGAAGCGAGGTGTGCTCCGACACACGGCAGTGTTCAAACAGCAAACATAAAACCAAAGAACAGTAGCAGATTAGAGGCTGTAAGCAGCAGCAGAGGAAACAAAGTTCAGGCGAGTCAGAGATGAACCGTTCACCGTTTCACTCCATTTCCTGTTCATTTCATTCCTCCTGAAGCAAAGAGCAGCTCAAATGGAGATGCTGTTTTACTCTGAATTCTTACTAAAAAAATGCATCAATATTGTTTTTCTTATTGTCTTTCACGCCAGAAATAAATAAAAGCTGCTAAAACAAGCACAAAATAGCACAACACTATGAGAAAGTTCAATGGGAAGTTCAACTTTAAATTTGCTCCTACAATTTGGAATAATTTCCAAAACCAGTAACAGTAACTAGTGATTTTTTAATGTAAAGTAGAATTATATGAATATAAACAGTTTACATGCTAACAAGAAAGAAAACTAAACTTTGGTAAAAGTTTTTACAATCAAACTGGTTACCATGGTAACTTTGATAACAAAACAACGCAAAAATAGCAAATAAACAATTCTTATGAACTTAAATAAAAATAAAATATTTGATGATGAGTTACAACTGAGGCACATTTAAGATGTTTCTAAACCAAAACCTCACGAAACATTTTGAAAACAAGTTTCAAAGTCATTACAGTTCAACAGATTTATATAAATACATTGTTGTATTTAAAATTGTTATATTTTATGATTATCTATTTCCAAACGGGAAGGAAAACGATCTGACGACAATCAATAAAACTCTGTAGAAAGGCAGAAGGAACGTGGCGCCACCTTGTGGATGAATCTATCATCACGGCTTGCAAAAGCAACAATTTTATAATAATAATTCTGCTGCTTAAGTTCAGTTTTCACTTTATTTGGAGTTAAAAGAAATTTATCAGAATTTGGCTGAAGAAGAGCAAAAAATAAAATTCACCAACTTGACTCATTTTTAACTTTATTATTAATTTATGAAATGTAGAAATCTTTGTCTCTTTTCAGATTCCTCAAAAATAAAACTAATTTGGAGAAATTTATTGAATCAATTCTTCTGTGATTTAATATTTTCACTCAATAACTTATTATTCAAATAATAAACAACTGATTTATGAAAAATGATTCTGTCCCTAGAGATTAAACACATTAACTATGCAGAATAAAATTAATTTGTAAACAGAAGCAAAACCTCTTAACTTTCCTGGAATTAACTGAATTCAGCCAGCAGAGGGCGCTGTAGAGTCAAGAGTCACCTGCTTCTTGTTACTAATCTATGTATTAAATATAAAAATCAATAATCAGTGTATTTAATACACTGATTATTGATGAGGATCAGTTTAGTTAATCTGTTATTTCTGCACAGACGGTTTTACTGATAATCAGGGAGGTTGAGTTAAAAATCTTCACTTCCAGCTCCTCCTGCATGAGCAGCGAATCCAGAGACCAAACAAAAATAACGAGATTAAGGATTAATCTGAGAAAAAAAACCCCCCAAAGCATTTAATTTTCCAGTTGATCAAAAACCGAAAAGAGAAAAAACTGGAAAATGATTTTTCACGAGCTGCCTTTGATCATCTGTGGTTTGTTGAGAATTTAAACCAGATTCCAGAAACAAAGACTGATCATAACAACATAGAAATATGAATAATTAGAAAATAAAATAAATTCTGATCCGTTGCAAGAATGAGGAATAAAATAAAGAAATAAATGAAATACATTTAAATAATAAAATCAGGACGAAGAAAATAAAAATTAAGATAAAATCAGACAAATGTATTAAAACGGTGACAGAATAAAGAAAAATTGAATAAAATTTTATTTAAATCAATTAAAAATATTAAGAGAAAATAATGACTTGTTTTTTAAAATTTGTTTTTGGTTCATTTTAATATTTCCTTTTACTAAAAGTGATTTGAAAATCAAACCTGAAGCAACAAGCTGAAAAGAATCTGCATATTTTAAAGACATAGATGTTTTAATTTAATTCAGTCTAATGAACAGTTTTGATTAAAACCCGGTCTGAACCGTTTCCTGCTGCTCCGTCAGAGCAGCGACAGGGAGGCGGATGATGCAGCAGCAGCTGCAGCAGCTGCTGCAGCAGCGGGAACCCGCTGGGTGACAGGAATCTGTTACCTGCAGCGGACAGAGCGCAGCGCTGAGGTGAGTCCACTGTGGCTCAGTCTGCGACCACACACCGAACCAACCGGCTCCCCTCGAACCGGAACCTCCGGACTCACCAGCTGTCACTTGTTTCTGTCCTCTGAGGTTTTTTCTTCTTCTTTGGACCGAATTGTCTCTGATTCTGGGAGACAAACGGAGGAAATCTGCAGATTTTCTGGTTTATTTTTCAGTCAGACTTCAGAGGATGGAGTTTCAGAGAGGAGTTTAAATTCTTAGATCTGCTTCTCTTTGGTGATTAAATGGAAAACTACACGGTGTCGAGTAATTTCACCCAAGTTCTCTCCGAACTGGACGGGATGGGTGGTGAGGAAGAGGAGGAAGAGGAGGAAGGCGTCAGAGGGAACGGACTGCGCGTCCTGATTGGCTGCATCCTCTTCCTGCTCATCGTGTCCACGCTGCTCGGGAACACGCTGGTCTGCGCCGCCGTCATCAAGTTCCGCCACCTGCGGTCCAAAGTCACCAACTTCTTCGTGATCTCGCTGGCCGTGTCCGACCTGTTCGTGGCCGTGCTGGTGATGCCGTGGGAGGCCGTGACCGAGGTGACCGACAGCTGGCTGTTCGGAGGCTTCTGCGACGTGTGGATCACCTTCGACATCATGTGCTCCACGGCCTCCATCCTCAACCTGTGCATCATCAGCGTGGACCGCTACTGGGCCATCGCCAGCCCCTTCAAGTACGAGCGGAAAATGACGCACCGAGTGGCTTTCGTCATGATCGGGGTGGCGTGGACGCTGTCCATCCTCATCTCCCTCATTCCGGTGCAGATGAACTGGCACAGGGCTCAGGAGGAGGACGGCGCGGTGATGGAGGACGTGGCGGCCATATTGGACAGGAACTGGACAAACTCCACCAACCTGACCGGAAGCGCGTCGGCATCCATGAGCTGCGTGGCCAACCTGAACAAAACCTACGCCATCTCCTCCTCCCTCATCAGCTTCTACATCCCGGTTCTGATCATGATCGCCACTTACACCCGGATCTACCGGATCGCTCAGACCCAAATCCGCAGAATCGCGTCTTTGGAGCGGGCGGCGGAGCAGGCTCAGAACCAGGGCCACGGTGTGGCCCGGAACCAGCAGCAGCACCGGGCCGCCGACGAGGCGTCGCTCAAGTCTTCGTTCAAGAAGGAGACCAAAGTTCTGAAGACGCTGTCGATCATCATGGGGGTGTTCGTGTTCTGCTGGTTGCCGTTCTTCGTCCTGAACTGCACCGTCCCGTTCTGCGACCCGCCGTGCGTCAGCGACACCACCTTCACCGTGTTCGTCTGGTTCGGCTGGGCCAACTCCTCCCTCAACCCGGTCATCTACGCCTTCAACGCGGACTTCCGCCGGGCCTTCGCCACCATCCTGGGCTGCAACCGCATCTGCTCCAACAACGCGGTGGAAGCTGTGAACTTCAGCAACGAGCTCGTCTCCTACCACCACGACACCACCTTCCACAAGGAGGCGCTGGTTCCCGCGCAGCCGCAGCAGCGGCCCCGCAACCTGAGCATGACCCTGGACGACCGCCTGGAGGACATGAGCGCCCGGTTCGACGAGGAGTCCAACATCTCCATCGGTTCTCCGAGCCACGACAGGCTGCTGCTGCTTCCGGCCGCCGTCCAGCTGGAGGACAACGCGGAGATTTCTCTGGCAACGATCACACCCATGACGTCAGCAGCAGAACTGGACAACGAGGTGTTCATACCAGGACAGGTCCAGCAGGACGGGTAGGACCGAGCAGAACTCGGCCGGAACTCATCAGTCCAGGGTAGCATTGACACTGATTTGTTTCACCAGATCTGATTTCTGATTTTAACTGATTATTTTCTTACTTTCTTTTCTCAAGAAGAAATTGCAAATGTCAAAATATTTTCAAACTGTGGCTTTGATTTCAGCCATCCGTCCATGACTGAGTGTTTGGGATATAAGGAGAATATAATCATAAAATTAGCAGAATAAAGACAATTTTACCAGAGAGAAAAAGCTTTGATAGTTACATTCTGACGTGAACAAATCCATTCAACTGGTTGTTTGTTTGGTTGATCATTTAAAACTCCTGATAATAATTTAATTCTAATGTGTTAAAAATGTGTCTATTAAATATTATATGTAAAACTTATAGCAGTCACTTCACCAGGTGCTCAACATTCCCCGGCTTTAATTTTCTTGTTGCGGTTCTCATATAATTACTATTTTATCCTCACATTATTTCAGACTCTGTTGTCTTATGACTGAATTCTTATAATATTATGACTTTATTCTCTTCGTTAAAAATAAAACATCTTAGTCTGACCCTAATATTTAGTTTACCTGAATTCAAAGCTGTAAAACATGTTTGTCAAACAAGATGGCCGCCCCAGGTGAGCCGACATCTCTGAGCTGTGGAAACCCGACGAGAGCAGGGCGGAAAAAATCCAGGTTTTCCAAAAAATAAATATCCAGAAACCAGAAATGTGATTAATCAATAAAATTGATTCATGACCCCGTCCTGCTGGTCATCATGAGATGAACGGAAATATTGTGAAAAAAAACCAAACCGTTTTTATTCAGGATTAAAATGTATCTGGTTTTTGTTCGATACAGGACAAAGCAGAGCACTACTGTCCTGCAGTTTTTATCAGCAGGATTACATTTAATGTTATTTATTCCAAGGAGCTCAATCAGCTCCTTTGTTAAATGTAAACATGTATTTCCTCTCTGGTGTTTGTAAAAAGTTGTTTTCCTCTTTGGACTCGTTCCTCTGTGTCTGTAGCGTCTCATTGTGTTTTACCTTCATGAATTCAGACGTGAAACATCCTCCACATCCACAGGAGATGCTTGTAGAAACGTGAGTCTTCAGTGTTTAGCAGGTGAATGTCTGGAGGAATAAAAAGTGGAGCGTGTGGTTTAAGGACCAGCAGCAGCTGAACTCGGCCGGATTGATCAGATCATCATCGTTCACCTTCAGCATCATTTCACTGACATTTTTCTTGGAACCTTTTCAATGTTAAGCTGCTGGAGAATCTTTGAATTCAGTGTTACAATAAAGGAAGGCTGAACTGATGGAGCACAGAATGAGTTCTGAGTAAAAATATTACAGAAGATAATCAGATTTGTGGTTCTAGACCAGCTTTTCCTCAGCACTTGGTGAGAAACAATGCACTGATTTCTATTGTGCATTAAATTAGAGGAGAACCTGGGATTTAAGATCACTTCATTCATTTTACATTTGCTAAACACAACTAGCATAACAACTTAATGAAAGATTACAGCTTCATAAATCAGCCTTTCACTCAGTTTGACCTTAACATTAACTCTAGTCTACCTTCATTTTTTATCTACGTGTCGGTCAATCAAGCTTTGCTTTTATATTTTTGTGTTTTTTTCTCACTCTCTGTTCTACATCACAGCTGAGTGTAATCACCATTTAACTGATTTATTTTTATGTTTTTAAGTCAGACTAGTAATTGAACTGCAGACTATTTACTTATTTTTTATTTTGTTTTTACCTTTAAATTGAGCTAGGAAGATATAACATGGAATTTATTTACATAAAACTAAGTAGAAATAGTAAATAGTTAATTTGAACATGATCAGCTGGGAGCCCAGGATGTAACGTTTCATAAATGAATGGAGGTAAAAGTGGTGAAGTGGTTTTGCTGTCTGGGTGTTTTTACAGCGAGCCTCTGGTTGTTCTTTCATCTTCAGTCGGTGTTGAGTTGAAACGGAGCGGAGCTCTCAGGGCGCCGCACCGTGACCTCCAGCCGAACCGTGACCTCCAGCTGGGCTTTACGGCAGGCTGAGGCTTCGCTGCAGCCACACCTGATTCATACCAGAATGTCCTGATAATCCCTGAATAAAAATTATATAAACTCTGCTGGATTGTATTTTGGGATGAATCCAGCCTGTTCAGGTCGGGATGTTTAAAGGAAAACTCATTTTTATTTTTCCTCTGAGTTGATGTGAGGCGAGCAGCTTCACTTCGTCTCACGTTTCCTCTGATCTCTGACTGAACGTCTGTCAGTGACTCCAGCCATCAAACCCTCCTGCTCTCTCTGCGCGTCGCTCCTGCTGGAATATTTACGACGTAATGAGATTTTTCTTTGACACGTTTGACATGAAAGGTGATGCAGCCTGAGGAAGCTTCTGATCCGATTCGCTGCAGATTCACTTCATTCCTTCGTTGTTTTGGTTTTGTTGCTGTAAAATTTTAATTCTCTATCTTCTTTGGCTCTTTGGTGTTAACTGACTTCCTGGTATTAGAGAGAAAAGAAACATTTTCAGTAAAGACTCCTGAACAAAGTCACCGAAGCACATTCATTACATTCAGCCGTTTTCTTCATATTATTTTGTTTCTTGATGATTTTTAGTCTCAGAAAGCTGCAGGAACATTTCTGCAGCCCAACCAGGAATCATTGCTATTAAACAACAAATCAAAACTGCAAAAGGTTACATGGTGCAGAAATTATGCAATTTATTAAAACTTCAAACCTTTTCCCTGTAGACTCGTTGAGATTTTGGCTAAAACAAAAAGATAAACCAGTTGGACTTCATTTGGTATGTTGATATATTTTAAGATTTTCATTCATTCATAGTTTAATAGTAACAATAAACACTTTATTTGTCCAGTATGATGCAGCTTTTCTTCATCCTCATTAAAAGGGCAGCAAAATAAAACTAACTAAACTAAAACTGTTTAAAATAAAATCGTGAAAACATGAAAAAAACTTGAAACTTAGAAAGTCAATTTTAAAATTATACAGATTTTACTACATGAAAATATTTTGGTATTTTTTAAAACATTGAAAATATTTTTAAAGATTTTTTTTTTCATTTGGTACTTTGTGATATAACATGAAACGGCAGCTAATTATTGTTGTGAAAAGTGTTAATATCAGGATAATTAAAGAAAGGAAATAAAACTTATCAGAGAAAAGACAGAAATTAATTAATTCCAGAAGTTAAACATTTTTAAGGTATTTAAATGTTTTAAATGAAAGTTTTTATTAAAAATTTGTTTTTAAACAGGCTAACAAGCTTCTCGCCTCAATTTATGTTTAATGAATTATTGTATAAATAATTTTTCATGTTGTAAACATATTTAGACGGTAATTTGGCATAAAGTTCTTGATTCTCTGTGCTATAAGCATTTCTTAATCTGTTATAATTGATATCAATATTTGTCTCTGCATTGATGATGATCAGAAGATAAATAATGTCTGAAAATAAAGATTATGTTTGAGATTTTTGTTACCCAACATAAAGCCATCAGAGTGATTACAGAGGAGCTGTTAGCATGTAGCCTGGTTACATCATTAGCAGCTGAGAGTGATGAGCTGCAGCTCGAGGAGATTCAACGACAGGCGGCTCGTCATCCCGGGTGTCGACCCGAAGCGGCCCTCAGACCGGCGGAGGTCACGGCTCCCACCGTTAATCACCGCAGCAATCAGAGCAGAGCAGCAGCGCTGATTGCAGCCGCCACTCTGCCGATGTTCAGAGGCAGAAAGTGGACTCTTCTGTTTGCCGTCAAGGACTTGGACCATCACCCATCCAAACACTCTTCATCCCGATGAGGAGGCAGGAAAGTCACCTCAGAGCTCCATCGGCAGCTGGCAGCCAGCAGCAACACCTGATCTACAAACACTAAGAAATCACTGAGCTGGTTTTAAATCTGCTGGGTTCCTTCTGGGTAAATCCACCAAATCAAATAAAAGTAAATAAATGTCTGACTGTGAACACAGCTTCATTATGGGATCAGATGAATCAGAGTCTCTGCTCTCAGTGTCTCTGCGTATATTTATACATGATATTCCTGGACTTTCTGGTTCTGGTTCTGTTGTGTGTTTCCTCCTGTTAAAAAGCAGTTGTTCCTCCCCACTGGCACCACATGCTTGCTCAGGAGAAGTAATCGCAGTAAAGACCGTGTCCTGATGCAGCTGACTTTGACTTTCTGCTGGTCATTTTTAGAAGCATTATTTATTTTACCCAACATGTTTGGAGAACAAAACTAATCTCAGTTTTAATTTTATGATGTTTTAATGGCTTTTTAACCATTAAATGATCAATAAATAAGTTACTTATTTTCAATTTAGCTCATATTCTTAAAGCAACCAGCAGGGGGCGTCAGAGCACAACAACAACAACATCTACCGTTTCTTTTCCTCTATATTAACCCACCAAACCATCATTATATAAAGTAAGTACACCCCTGTCAGTCACATCAACAGACCATAGAAACACTGCAGTTCTCTTTAAGAATCAGGCAGTCAGACTTTCTTCATCACTGTTCTCCGTTTTGTGATCGATTTATCCGAAAGAATCAGAACCGTTCATCAGTCAGCCATCAAAATGCTTCTGCAGCATCAGAGTTCCTCACCACAGCAACACAGACACAGATGATCAATAAATTCAGCAAAGTGTTTTGCTATGTTGAAAACATCGAGTCTGTCTGCAGATGATTATTTTAATTTTATTCAGCAAACGGTGCAGCGACAGACCTGGACAGATGGAAATATTAAACATATCTGTCCAAACCTTGTTCTAAAAGTTCATTTTTACTGTTCTAATAAAAAACCTTCAAACTTTTCTGGACCTTCAGAGACAGAAAACAATGTCAGCTGTGTCTTTCATTTCATTTTCTTTCCTTCCACATATTTGACCTTCTGCAAAGGACTCCATGTTAGAAAACAAGCAGCATCTATAATTTGAAACTTTACAACTTTCTATATTTCTAAAAGTTGGGAAAAAATATTTGAAGGTTATTTGATGACAGTTGATGACACAGAGCAACCGTCGATATTTAATCAAGTTTCTACAAAGCAAATAAAAGTTTGTAAAGGTTTATAAAGGTTATCTGCATAATTAAACTGTGATTAAATAAATAATTAAACCCCATCAAATGCAGGAGTGATGCTTTTGGTAAAATAACACAAGATCAGGTTCAGATCGACTGGAATATTCTGCCAGAACTGAGTTGCTATGGAGGATACTGGGATTTACTCTGGTTTCCAGCAGCTAACAGGATGAAACTGTTGGAGCTAAACTGGATCTGTTTCACTGTTTGATCTGTAACCTGGAAACAGATCATGTTTCTGATTGGCTTTAAATGAATGACTTTCTTTAATTTACCTGAATATTGTGTTTTTGATAAGGTTCAGTTAAACTCTCTCTGAGGTAAAGTAAGAGCAGAGAAGCTTTAAAACCAAGGAAAGAGAGATGTATCCGACTGAAAGGGACTGAAATAATCCATCCATTCATCCGTTAAAAGCCGGCCTCCTCTGATGTCCTTTTGACCAAACTTTAATAAATGATGCTGCCCAGCTTCAGGACTCTGGGTGAAAAACAAGGTGACATATTTGTTGCTGATCGATCCAGACTGGGCGGAACGGCGCGTTTTCTCTGCCTCAGTTCATCCTCCCTCCCCAGGCAGATACTTGGCAGCGATCTCTGGAGGAAGGAGTTGGGATCTGCATGGAGGCCTGAGCTGAATGAGAAGGAGCTGGCCGCCGACCACCTGGTGTCAGTGGGGGGTTAAGCCGTGACCCAGATTCCTGCAGGAGTCTTTGTCCTGCAGCCGGGAGAAGATCCTCCCCACCGGCTCCTCAGAGAGCCGAGGATCAACCAGAGACACAACGAGTTTCTGTCCTGGAGGAGCCAGGAAGCTGAAAACGGCCCAGTTCAGTTCATCACAACGTTAATAAATACATTAACCAGGTTATTCTGATAAGACTCGTTATGAATTAATGGACAAATTAACATCGTTTTATCTGAGTTCAGATCAACTTCATCACTCAACCTGGTGACACTCTGATCCGTTACCCTGGAAACCACAGATGGTCTGCGTTTACATTACAGATGTGCAAAACTCTGTCTATATCCCATGAATGTAAAAATACAAACAATTTAGCATTTCTTCTTTCCATCAAATATTAAAATCATGTGAATAAGTTTGTAATGTGATCAATCATTAAAATCACGCCACATCATCATCATCCTCCTCCTGCCACTTCCTGTCGACTTCTTCGTCTTTTCCTCCAGTAGTAACATCCAGCTGTTGATCACATGACTCATGATGCAAAAATTATGTTTTCATTGCAGTTTTGCAGAATATATTAATATTGATACAGTTGGAACTGAATCTCATCCTGTAGCAAAAACTTTTTATTGAAAAATGTGAGTTTTTTCGAAATGATCCTGTTTCCATCAAGCAAATTTATTTTCATAATTCCAATTTTCATGATTTCATGGTTAATGGACAGCAGCAGGTGAACTGATCCTGGATTGAGGAAAGTGTTCTTGGTTTCATGTTGAATCAGAATCAGAGGCTGAGGAGATGAGCAAAGTTTGAACAACCAAACAAGAAAATTTACAGATTATCAAACTAACAGATTATCTGTTAAACCCAGAGGAGATTAATAGAATAATCCAGAATAGAATAATCCAGAGAGGACAAATGAAAACAGGAGGATCCAGGACAAAAGACACTTTAATGTTTCCATTTATCTCTCTGCCTTACAGACTGGAGTCGATCAGAGGATCTGAAGCAGACGACATAATAATAATAATAATAATAATAATAATAATAATAATAATAAATATGCATCAAAAATTGATTGTGGATCAAATTGGTTCCCACGCATCGTAGAGAAACTTAGATTTACTGAACCTGCTAAAGGCTCCATGACTGGATCCAATCTGGATCCGGTCTGGATCCAGACTGGATCCGGTCTGGATCCGGTCTGGATCCAGTCTGGATCCACCCTGGATCCAATCTGGATCCGGTCTGGATCCAGACTGGATCCACCCTGGATCCACCCTGGATCCAGACCCGGAGGATTCCAACACGCAGCTCCGCTGAGGAAACACTGGCAGGACTCAGAGGAGACAAAACAACTGAAAGTTTGAATTATTGTCTGAGTGGCGAATAAAGAGAAACCCTGCAGACACTGTTGTTGTCACAGATGCTTTCTGAAGGGGTGAGTCTGGGGGGTAAATGTGGGAGGGCAGTTCTTCGAACAGCCCCCGGGCCCCTCTTTCTCCCTCTCCTCCTTTATTCTCGTCTCCTGCCCTCTTTTATCCGACTCTCTGCGGCCCCACGCTCTCACAGCGACTCCGACCTCTCAGCAGCATCCAAGGGTAAGAAACGGCAGCGACTGAATCTGCTTTCTGGGCCGAACCTGCAGACGGAGAGTTATGACTTATGAACCAGGACGGCGGAGATCAGAGGATTGTTTCTGTGCTGCTGCTTGTCTTTGTTTGACATCTGGTGACTTTCTCTGCTCAAACCTTCATCCTTCACGGCAGAGAAGCTCTGAGAAACTCCAGAAATGGTTTTGATTTTAAAAAGATGCATTTGGTTTTGATTTAGCCGTTTTCCAGAATGAATTTGATCTTAGTGGAGGGAGGAGCGGTCCGGTCTGGTTCTGACTCTTTTGTTGCACTTTAACTTCCTGAAGCAGCTCAGTCTGACTGAACTGAACTGGATGAAGCTGATAATTCTGGATTTTTCTGGATTTTGAAGATAAACTGTTGACTATGCTTCCAGTAACTTTTGCATCCAGTGAACACTAAACTGTAATATTCAGTATTCTGGTTGTTTCATTATTTTCTGTAATTATTTCTCTGAGTGGAATGAATGCATCATTTATTTGGTTGTTCACTGCATGAATATTGCAGTGTGTTTATTCCTGATTTAGAGTTTGGGGCCTCGTTGTCGTGGTTACATGTATCTCTGGTTCGTTATCCTGCTGGGAGAGTTTGGGGTTCTGGGTCGACCATGGAGGAATCGGCCGCCATTAGAGACCTGATCAGTCCTACACCAGGAACCCATCGAATCACGGAGACACCATGATGAGATGTTACATCATCCCCTATTGTTGTTCCCCATGTGACCAATAGGAATAGACATGTGGCAGTAGAAATGGAAAATGGAGGCCTTCCCTCAGTCTTTACCTCAAACAGAGGAGGGAAAGTTTCTCGGTGTCTTGTGACGGTGGGACGCAGCAACAGATGGAGATTTGGTTTAGGGGCCTTGTCTGAGGCACTGTGAGTGGTGCTCCTCTTTCAGAAAGGACACAGGATGATGGGTACGGAGGTTCCTTTGTCTGTTCGGACTCAGCCTGAAGGGCTCGACACATGGGGGGCAACGTTTCTCCCTCCATTTCACCTGCAAGATGAAGCGACTATCACTAACCCTCCTTCAAGCCTGGGAACTGGAAGACGTGTGCATGAGGCGTTTGGAGCTTGTACATGTAGACACACACTGGTTAGCCATGTGTGCACAAAAAATGTTCCATCTTTGTTGCTGTCATTGCTACATGTGTTGGGTTTCATCCGGTTGGCAGAGACTCCTCACTGCCTTTAACCAGGTAGTCCTACATGTTACAGTCCAGCCTATTCCAAACGGTGCTGAAGGTTGTGGAGAGTCTTTCATGGTCTGCATCCAGCTTGAAAACAGAGTTAGCTCAGTCTGTCATTGGGCCACAGTTTGTTCAGTTTATGGTGTAAAATAATTGACATTCAGATCACAGAGACTAAAATTCCCCTCTGATCGACTGAATGGTGCATAAATCATTTAGCTTCACTCTGAATACTCAGTTGTTCTTACAGTCATCACCATGTAAACCCAAAGTCACATCAGGCCCTGGATCACACCAGGCTGCAGCTAACACACCTGAGCTAACTAAGACATGGGGCCACACCAGATGTGTGTCCAGCTCTCCTTTAACTGATCCACATCATGGGTATGTTCCCCATTATGCTGCCACCATGAATATAAACCATAGTAGCCTGACACCAGATCAGCTTCCACCATTAAAACTCCGTAGAGATTTTCCAGTCTTTGTCACATGTCATAAAACGCCGTTGGGTTTTTAATCATGCCTGAGGCTCTTGACAAGATCCTGTGAGACATTTCCATGTTTCGGTCAGTTCTTAAGTCCTTGTGGGGTTTTCATCCTGGGTGGACTTTGATTTGTACTTGTAGCAATGCTGGTTTTACATGTAGAATGGATAAGTGCTTCTCTGTTGTTTAACTTCCAGATCTGTAAAGTTCTCCTTTGGACTTTTGCTGCTTCAGGCCTTTTAAAGTTTCACACATTAACAGGTGTCTCCTGCCTCTCCTCAGCCACCATGCGTGCTGCTCTGTGCTGCTGCGTCTTCCTCCTCTGCCTCGTCTTCCCCGCCGAGGCCAAGCGGACGCCTGGTCAGGACAAACGGGACAAACCTCGCCAGCCCCAGCCGTCGCCGCCACCGGCCCGGCGGTCCAGGAACCGCTCGGTGCTGAGCTCCGGGGAGCTCAGCACCAAGCAGGGCCATCGCTGCACCTGGCAAACATCTGGTGAAGGTCTGGTGAGCCTGCTGGTGAACTGCTCCACAGAAACCGCAGGAGACACAGAGAGGTGAGGCGAGACGTAGAAACATGATGAAAAGCTGTCAGTCAGTCAGTCATCGATATCCTGCACAGCTTTGAGCTTCATGCAGTGATGATGGCAGTGAGGAACCACAGGAGGGATCCATATATCCTGCACCGCGTTTTTGACCCGAGAAGGCGGCTTGCCTTGACAAAAGTCAGCTGAAGCAGGACTGGTTCAGGGTGTATCAGTAACAAATGGTTTGGAAATGGTCTTAAAAAGTTTCCATTCCTTGGTTTAAACTTGCATCCAGTAGCTCAGTGCCTTTCCTGCCTTCAGTGTCCTGGAACTCAATCATCTGGTTGTTGTTGTTTCCAGGTACTGGTGTCGTTATGCTGGGAAACCCGACCTCTGCCAGGCCTACAGCGTGAAGTCCAGCCAGTACTGGAAGCAGCTGGTGGGAAAGCTGAAGAAACGGGAGAACGCCTGCGAAGGAGAGAAAGTGTTAAAGGCCAAAACCTGCAAAAAGGCGCCTGGCGAGGCCCACATGAAGCTGGCTCAGCGCAGCGGGGAGGAGGACAAGAACGGCGCCAAGGAGGGAGGGAAGAAGAAAGGAGAGGCCGGAGCGAAGAGCGCCGATGGAGGCAAGGTGGAGAAGAGAAAGAAGAAGATGAAGGAGGATGAGGAGGAGAAAAAGAAACGGGAGGAGAGGACTGAGTTTGACGACGAAGGAATGGTGAACGACATGGAGCCGGTGCAGACGTACTGCAGCGACGGCTGGCACTCCGTCTGCTCCTTCTTTGTCAAGTTTTTTGAGGGCTGATTAAAAAAAATTAGAGAATTTTTTTTTTTTTATTGATGATAGTGTGAATTAAATCTGAAATCAGAGGAGGAAAGTTGTGTTTTTAACCTTTTGGGGAGTCTGGGCAGCTCATTTCTAAGGATTTGTGTAAAATTTCTCAAACTGCTCTCTGAAGGTTAGACGAAAACCAATTTAATTTACATTTGATCGAGAATCTTTGGTAATTCTGTATATTTTTTAAGGATTAATTGTTAGATCTAATACCTTAAAAATAACCGTACTCTGTAAACTGTGTTAGTTAAAACAGATTCAGTTTGAATCTGCAGTAATAACCTGATGAAGTGAAGTTTGTTGAGTTTTTATTGTTTTAGTTTCCTGATGTTTAGTTTTGTGATGTTGGACCGTTTTTAACCAAATTCTGGATTTTCATAGACGACATTAAATAATCACCATTAACTGAGATGTTTGTGGTCAATAACTCGATTCTTTTTGTGTCGTTATCGGTTTGTGACATCAGACTGAAACCTTCCTGATCGTTTCTGTAGATTTCCTTTGGTTGTTGAGTCCAGCTCTGAGCCCAGGACGGTTTCCTGACCCTCCTCACCTGGTCAAGTTTACAACCAGACTCAGTATTTCATTATAAACTAAACTGAGGCTTCAAATGATCAACAGTCTCCAGTGAAGAGGAACGAACCTGAACCACATTATCAGTATTATTATTGATAAATAAATAAAGTTCACTCTGATTTAAATATGGCCAATAAATTAAATAGTTTAATTCAAATGTTTGTTTTTTTGGTTTTATCAAATTTGATTTATTTCACAAAACTCCAGTGGAAACACTTTTTTGCATCTCATGAGTCACATGATCAACAGGATGTTACTACTGGCACAAACCATGAAGAAGAAGACGACAGGAAGTGGAGCAGGAAGATGGAGCGCCATGTTGTTTTTTTAATAACTTATCATGTGAACAAATTTATTCACATGTGATTTTAATTGTGTTTCTTATTTCATGGAAACATTGTGTGTTTCTTCGACATTAGAGGAACACTGACAAAGTTGTGAAACTTCACAGAAGAAAAAACAGAAACCATAAAGTTAATGGCAGGAATAACCATGGATAATTCAAATCAGAGAAAGAGTGAGAAGTCTTCAGTTTGTCTTCCAGCAGCCTGAGTTCATAGTTATAGTCATAAACAGATCAGGATAACCTGAGCCAGAACAACTACAAGCTTTATCCAACAGGAAAGTTTTCAGGCCAGTTTAAAGTGTAGAAGACGTCTGAGGACCCGTCACGTCCAGAAGGTTCATCTGGTGCGTTTCTGCTGGGGATCCTGAATCGTGTGCCTTTAAACGTGGCTGTTTGCTGCAGAAAGCGGTGAAATAAAGGAGCTGCTGGACCCAGAGCGAATGCTTGGACTGATCCAGGATGTTGCATAATGCTGTGTGAACAGCAGCATCGTTCTCAGCCCCTCCAGGCTGAGAGCTGTTTACATCCTGGTCATTTCATCTGAATACCAATCAACACACTCACTTCTACTGTAGCAGATTCTGCAGTTTGGTTTTCACACCAGGCTTCATGCTGTTGTTCGTTCATCTGAATGAATTTCATCAACATGTTTGTTTCTGCAGAACAAACCCTGAGAAGAAGGAAGACAAGCCGTCAGGTGAGAACCAATACCTCCACTTATTCCAGTCCAAACTCCAGTCCCCACATCAGAACCAAACTGCCACTTCCATCTCCACAGTGGCCTGATTGTCCCTGAACACCGAAACACAGAAGAGGCCACTGAGAGCCCAGGAGGAGGCAGCAGGGGTCACAGCATGAGGCCTCCATGCTGGCCGCCTGCCGCTGAGGACTCAGGCACAGCGAGGGTCTGGCAGCCGCTGCATCGCCTCACATCAGCTTTTATTCCCAGCTCTCCTTCAGCTTCAGTTTGTCCTCCTGGTCTCTGCTGGTACCGACCAACATGGACCCAGAGGGACGTCCTGGTGGGACTCTGTCCTCTGTCTGAACCAAGTTCTGTAGTTTTACAGATAAATGATGGAGAACATTTAAATAACACCTCATGTCTTTATTAAATGTTTTGAAGAAACTTCTAACTATGCTTAAATCATAGCTAACTGATTAAAATGTAAGGAAACCATGCCTACAGCTGCAGTATGTAGCTGGTATAAAAGCTTTTTAATGCATTTTTTAAACTGTCACTGTCATGACAGTTTAAGAGGCAGATAATCTGTCAAACTAATTCAGCAGATCTTCCTTCTCCTAGTGCTAACTAGAAACAACCAATCAGAGCCAGGAGGCGGGTCTTAGCGCTGTCAATCATCCTCCATGTGAATGCTAAGGCTAGTTAGCATAGCCACCGATGATGGCGAATAAATGGTTTTCTTGTAATAATACGTTGTTTTTCTGCTGTTAGCCCACTGAGCAGCTCGGTGAGCTCAAACCCAACCATAACGTGACTGACTGACAGTTTCATCTCTGAAAGGTTCGGTTCCACAGCTACAGGTGGGCCAGGAAATGTCAAAGCTTTAAAATTATACTTATAAAAACTAAACTTTACACTTTTACTTCAGAGTAGAAAAGTAAAGTTAATGTTGGTCTGAGAGCCGGCAGTAAATCTCTCCTGAAAGCTTGTGGTCATTTTCTCTGCTGATCCAGACGCCTGTTTCTCCCACTGAGGTTCAATAATCTTAGAGCAAATATTCACAGAAATATTTATCTGTTTTGTTCTTTGATGGCCAATTAAACCAAACCACCTGCAACAGAACCAGAACTTTCCTGAGATCAACAGAAAGTTCTTCTCCCTGGAATCTCTTTACTGATGTTTACTGAATCCTATTGTTGGACCCAAATCTTCTTCATCACGAAACTGCAGCTTCTTGTTCTACACTCAAGAAGTCTCTGCTGCCCCCAGCAGGAGAAGGTTTGCAAGTGCAAGTTGCACTTTATGGATGACGAAGATCCAGGATGTGGGTTCGGCTCAGTGAGTAGCTTTTCTTCTCCAGCATCATGAGACACTCTGGTAGAAATATTTCTGCTCTTCATACAAAAAAACTCACAAATTTTTACAAAATGAAAATAACTTCAAAATGTCTCTGTAATGAAGTTGTTTTATTGAAGAAAGCTAAAAGAAACAGAACTGTAGACATTTATTTTTCTGATCTAAATCATAGAAAACAATCAGTTGTAGGTTGATGTTAGATTCAGTAAAGAAAACAGAAGGAAGTTCAGTTCAGTCTCAACTGATTTAAGATCAACATTCATTCTGCAAGTCAGAAAAACCAGAACATTTAACACATCAGTACAAGTTTAGATTCTCATGAAGAAATATTTCTGACATTTAATAATGAAAGAAAACATCAGCAGTGATAAAATTTATGCACAGAGAACGACTCTTAAACCAGAAAAATAAAGACAAGGAACAACAGAGCAGAGACTTCAGAACCATGAACCCTGGCCAACAATCAGAGAGAAAACCTAGTTGGGTTTACTGAACTCTGCAGATGATTCAGAACCAACCGCAACTCCAGTCATCAGCGGCTGACTGAATCTGGTCTGGACTCTGTGGATCAGAGTCATGGATTCAGAGACGCTGTAGAAGGACAGAAGACCTGCTCCGTGGTCCAGGTACACTCCGAGTCTGGAGGGAACCGGAGCTGAGATGGAGGTCCAGATGTTGTTGTGACCAAATTGTAATCTAGTTTGTGAACAAATTAATGCCCAAGATTTGTCATTACCTCCAAATCCACATTCATTTCCACCTCCTGCTCTGCTGATGTTGTTGTATGGAGCTGCTAAGCGAACTCTCCCGCTCCACTCCACCTCCCAGTAACAACGTCCAGTCAGACTCTCTCTACTCAGAACCTGAGGCCAGTTAGTGAATCTGTCTGGATGATTAGGATAAGACTGAAGATGGTTCATCCATCTCACCTTCCTGTTCCCCTCTGATAGCACCAGCTTTGTGTTTGCCGTATTTGGATTAAGGGTGATTTCACATGAATATTTTAAGAATCCAGCTCTGCTCCTTGGTTCTAGTTTTGGTTCTGACAGTAGAACATCCACCTCACTGACCATCAGTGAGATGTTTGCCCATGAGTCTCTCAGGACGTCCAGCATCAAGTCTCTGAGCTCTGACACAGCTGCTGTCACGTCCTCAAAGGGTCTCAGAGGACGGATCTTTATGCTGGATGAGCCTTTAGGCTCCCTGGGTGGCAGTGAGGGGTAGTTGAGGAGAAACTGGTTGTGATCCTCTGTGTGTGAGAGCTGCTCCAGCTCAGCGTCTTTCCTCTTCAGCTCAGTGATCTCCTGCTCCAGCTTCTCCTGAACATCTTTGACTCGACTCACTTCAGTTTCCTGCTGGGATCTGATCTGCTGCTTCACATCAGAGCTTCTTTTCTGGAGGAGACGGATCAGCTCAGTGAAGATCTTCTCACTGTCCTCCACTGTTTTATCAGCAGAGTGATTGATGGCCTCCACCTCCTGTTGAAGCAGCTTCACATCTTTCTCTCTGTCCTGGATTCTCTGCTGGATGTTTCCTCGTCTCTCCTCCAGCTCTCTCTGCCTCTCAGTCCTTTCTGCTGCAGCTGACACTGTGTCATGACCTTTATGTTCCTCCACAGAGCAGAGATAACAGATGCATGTCTGATCAGTGCGGCAGAACATCTTCATCACCTCATCATGCTGAGAGCAGATGTTCTCCTGCAGGTTCCTGGACGGCTCCACCAGCGTGTGTTTCTTCAGTCCAGGGACATCAAGGTGAGGCTGGAGGTGATTCTCACAGTAGGAAACCAAACAGACCAGACAGGACTTGATGGCTTTCAATTTCCTCCCAGTGCAGATTTCACAGGCCACGTCTTCAGGTCCAGCATAGCGGTGATCAGCAGGAGCAGCTGGGAGTCCAGTCTTCTTCATCTGCTCCACTAAAGCTGCTAGCATGGTGCTCCTCTTTAGTGCAGGCCTGGGTGTGAATGTCTCCCTGCACTGAGGGCAGCTGTGGATTCCCTTCTGATCCTCTGCATCCCAGTGGTCTGTAATACAGATCATGCAGTAGCTGTGTCCACAGGGAATCGTCACCGGGTCCTTCAGCAGATCCAAACAGATCGAACAGGAGAAAGTTTCTCTGTCCAGCTGATTCTGCTCCATTTCTGCTCTCAGTCACAGAGACTATGTGAGTTTCACTTCCTGAAAACAGAAACTGGGTTGAGCTCTGATCTGCAGATCACAAGTCAGAGCAGAGAGGCTGCAGCCAATCAGCTTTCACCTTCAGCAGCTGTTGGCTCCGCCCAGCTTCAATCAGGAAGCAGAGGGAGGAAGATGGTCAACCCATGAATGGTGTAAGAAGAGAGTCGGGTTTTAGTTGAGTAACTAAAACTAAAACCTGTTTTAGTTACTGATGGAACAGCAGCAGCAAGTTATAAAGAAGAAGCAACAATGTTTGTGCTGACATTTTCCATATATAAATAATATTAGTGAACAATAGAGGGAAGGTCGAGTAGAAAACGAAGAAATAATTTAAGATAATGTCATTCATATGTATCTTTGCTGCTGTGAGAAAAGTAAAAATGTCAACTGTGAAAAGATCAAATTGGTTATATAATGATGAGTGAACTTATTGAATATTCCAAGTTAGTCTTATTATATTTGTATAATGCAGCATACATTACCTGAAAAAAGGCTGTTGTGGTACCAAAACCTGGGAAAGATTATATAATATTATCATATTTCAATCTCATCAGTGACATTGGAGCAACACCGTTCACTTTAATGATGACAATCTGTAACTTTATTTTAAAAATCTATTAAAAACCTCTGAAGCTAATATTTATGTCAACACTTTGCATAATAATATCAAAACAATATGAACATTCAGCACAAAAATCAATCTGCAGAGTATAAATCATGAAACTGTCCTGAAGGCTCACAGGGTTTGCTAACATCCATCTCACCACCAGAGGTCGCTGTTGGATCACAGTAGGATTAGAAATCAGAGGAAACATTTTGAGTTTTAAATAAAAAAACCCCACAGATCTGACTGAATCATTGCTGTAGATTATAAAAATGATTGTCTTGTGAAAAACCTTGAATAGATAAAATTTTAACAATAATTTTATCTTCAGCTTCCTAAAGCGACATTAACTGGTTCTTCATTAATGATCCATCTTACTAATCATCAGAACCATGTATCACTGAACTGCTGAACCAGACGCATCGTTCTCACAGCTGCTGAGTGATAAATGAGTCCAACAGGTTTATCTTCCTTAAAACACAATCAGTCGCCCTGCTGGAGGTTCAGACAGGAGGCGCTCAGCAGAGAGGATGATGAGATCAGCAGCAGGACCTGAAGCTCCTTTTGCCCCAGAGACAGCCGAGTCCACCGCAGGAGTGGGGCATTTCTGGGGAAATCAGCCCTGCTCCATCAGCTGCACCATCAGCTCTGCTCCATCAGCTGCTCCATCAGCTGCACCATCAGCTCTGCTCCATCAGCTGCACCATCAGCTCTGCTCCATCAGCTGCACCATCAGCTGCACCATCAGCTCTGCTCCATCAGCTGCACCATCAGCTCTGCTCCATCAGCTGCACCATCAGCTGCAGAAATACTCCAGGATCTGAAACCGAACGAGACGATCCTGTCACTCTAAACGTCGTGAGGCAGAAGAGGCCGCTGCAGACTTTATGCAGAACTCTAGAAAATTAAAAAGTAACAAGAAGTCAACAGATCAAAGGTTTCTTTATTAATAATATAATCCCCATAAAACTAGAATTGTGTAGATTTCATCATTAATAATGGAGAACTATGGTTTATCATCCTGTCATTTCTATGCAGATGACGTTCAGTTGTATTTCTCACTTTACCAAATTAAACATCTAAACTCCACAGTTTGTTAAAGTTCTTAGACTGTTAAATGGGGATGGAGTCAGTTTTCTTCCATTAAGTGAAAACCAAAAACATTGTGGAACCAGAAAAGATGCACAACTGGAACAGAGAAACACCCTAACAGGGTCTCTGGGTTCTTCTCTGTTAGGAACCTTTGATTCTGGCTTCAGTTTTTTTGAACAGGTCAAATCTCAGAAATATTGTCAAATTTAACTCCATTACTCCTCATTCTGTACTGGAAATCATTTTTCATTCTTTTGTTTCATTACAATGTGCAAACTTTCCTAGAACTGCTACAGGATTTCTAGAAGTTAAATGTTACTTGTTCCCAGCACCAGTACAGCACCAGAACAGCACCAGTACAGCACCAGTACAGCACCAGAACAGCACCAGAACAGCACCAGAACAGCACCAGTACAGCACCAGAACAGCAGCAGGTTTTCACCAGGACAGAAACAGTCGGGATCCTGGTGCCGCCATGAAGGTGTTTCTGTTTCTACTTTCACCAGGTAAACAAACACAGAGACACGACTAAACAGAGGAACAGAGGATGATGGAGGCTCTGATTTCTGAGATTCATATTTTCATTAACATCTGATTAATAAACAGGCTTCACTGGCAGTGCAGCTCAGAGTCCACATCATTTTACAGGTTAGGATTTAGATCTAGACTTTGACTAGGCCAAGGTCTGCATCCTGCGACGATGTTCAGTCTGATGAACATTCATGAGCCATTAACTCAGCCATGCTGCAGCAGAGGAACATCTAAAACCTGGAGGTATAATCCACTACAAATTATAATCCACCCCATAATATCTGTCTGGATGTCAGGCGGTTTAAGGCCGTGAGAGCAAAAGGGTCTGAATTTAAATTCAAATATTTCAGGTTATTATCAAAAGTCTTATTAAACATGTTTCAGTTTCATCAACGTCTCAGTGAAACTCTCTGATGTTCGATCAATAAGGAAAACAAACGACTTGACCTTTGGGGATTAAGGATTTTCTTTAAAGCATGTGCTTTCCCAGCAGGTTCTGTGTTTATGGTGAAAGTCCAGAAAGCCATGCGGGTTTCTGTTGACCCCTGATGTTGACCCCTGATGTTGACCCCTGATGTTGACCCCTGCCTTATCGCCTGATGTTTGCACAAGCAGCAGCTTTGCTCCGATATCAGCTGAAGTGTCTGGAGAGAGGCCTGGATCTGGGAGCAATGTGTCCTACTTAAAGTCTCAGTTAATGTTTTAGCTGTGTTTGTCCTGTGGGAGTGGGGCTGCAGGAAGCGACGTCACAGCAGGAGGTCTGACAGCAGGTGGGATGTGTGAACAGAGGAGAGGCTGTCAAACGGGCTGACCGCTGAGCAACTGGGGCTCAGGCTGGGACCAGCACCAGTTAAACCAGTTCAACATCTGCTTTAAGTAACGCTGAAAACATCCAACATTATTATGTTTCTTATTCAATAAATAAACAGCAGCTGTGAAACTGTGTTATTTCAACTTTAGAGGAATAATTTGAAGTTTTGTGCACATTTGTAAAATAAATGCAGCTTTGAGAGTTTGTGATGAAACTATAAATCAAAATGGTCTCATATTTAAATATTTTATGATTATTACTCAAACGCAGACAAATAACTCCTGAAATTAACTTCAGAGTGAAAAAGAAAAGTTTTACCCCAGAATAAAAACTTTTATTTTCTGAACAGATATTGGTGATAAATCAGTTTAATGAGAAGTTCCTCTGTGTTTACAGGAGATTTCTCTGCTGTCGGCATTCATCCATCCATCCATCCATCCATCCATCCATCCATCCATCCATCCATCCATCCATCCATCCATCCATCCATCCATCCTGCTGCCACTGAGTGTTTCAGAAACCAGGCTCTGCTGTTGGTTTCATCAGAAACACATTCAGCGTGAGAAAAACGAGCCGTTTTCCCAGGACCTTCAGGACCGATCGGCTCCTGAACAGGTGTTTCCATTCCTCACCTGATTGGAGCCTTTCAGGCGGCGCCACACCTGCCGTCCATCTGCCTGCTTGCTGCTTAATGGGATCAGACACATGACAGCTGGATGGTTGTTGTGACAGGATCTGATCTGATGCATCCAGATGAAACATTTAATCGACTGCATGAGAGGAACAAAACGCTTCTGTCGGCTCAATTTATTTATATTTTAAACTTATTGCTGGGCAAAGCAGGAAGTGTCTGATTTTAAAGCTTCAGTCTAGAAAGCAGAGGGAAATCAAGTCCAGGCTAAAAGAGCAAAGCTGCACCAAAAACTGATGTTTATCAAGATAAAAACCTGAAGACAAATTCTGCAGGTTTCAACCAGCTAAATGAACGGAGACGGTCAGGTCTGCAGGATTGGAGGTTTTTTTTTCCAGCAGCCATCTTGTCTTTAACAGGCACCGTCCTGCAGAACCCGACCAGAATCATTGGTTTCTGGCAGATGGGCCTCCAGCTGCGGCCGTTCCCCCGGTTCCAGGCTCGGCCTCCTCGGCCCGACAGGACCAGACTTGTTTGTGAAGAGTCATGGGGGTGTGTCCGGGTTATGTAAAGTCGGGCTGTGACCCACATTCCTCCCGGCGCTGCCAGCTGGAGCCGAAGTGAAAATGGAAAATCTCATACCATGGATCACGTAGGCAGCATGCCTGACCCGGCCCGATGTAAACACAGACACACCCCTACTGCAGCACACACACCAACACCTACTGCAGCGGCCGGCCTGGTTCTGATCAGGTTCTGGTTGGGTTCTGATCAGGTTCTGATCAGGTCCAAAGGCTGCTGCTGTTCTGGTTCAGGTTCTGTTTAGATCCCTGCAGAAACAACCAGATTCCTGCCTGATCCTCATTCTGTGTGAACTTACAGAGCAGAATGATCAAACTCTGAACCGTCAGCATGAAACCCAAAGCTGCAAAAATGCAGAAAACCTTTGGGTCACGTCCAGAACCCGCAGCCAGCGGAGCCTCCGCTGACACAGGAGATCTTCTTACTGGTCACCCATTTCAGTGCTGAGTTTAAACGGCTTGCCAGCTGCGGTCAGTCAGGCGGTCACCGTCACCTTCAGCTCCAACCTGCAGCTGAAACGCCGACCGAGCCGCTGATCCCGTCAGAGGAGCCGGTTTGTTTTCCTCTGATCGCTCAGCTTGATGAGCATCTGCAGCAGATTGTTTCTATTTCTGCAGCTGTTGCACAGTCAGGACCTCTCAGGCATCTCTGGGTCAAAGGTCACACTAATGAACACGTAATCCAAAAAAAAGGCCAAACTGTTAATAATGGAGAAATTCTGTGAGTGGTTCTGACAAAAATCACATAAATCTGATTGAATATTTCAAAAATAAGCAACAAAACAGAATCAGGAGAAAGATGACCTGAAACAGGACGAGTGGAAACCAGCCTGGTTGGTTTCTGGTTGTCATCTCCTTCAGGATGAACCTCTTCAGCACAGCTATATCCATCCCAGCAGGATTTAATCAGACCCTGAACT